TGATGATACATGAAGATGATGATACATGATGATGATACATGATGATGATACATGATGATACATGATGGTCATACATGGGGATGATATATGATGATGATGATGACATTTATGTACCATTTATATGCTTCATGTTATCTAATTTTGTTTTGTTGTCTATTTTCTAGTCAACAAGGATACATTCCAAGTAACTATGTTAGGAGGGAAGGTCTAGATAGTGAAGTGTAAGTTGAAAATGCAATTTGTGAGTATTTTTTTCAATGCAACTGTGGCAGGAAAACACCATCAACAGCAGCAACAGAAACAACGGCGTTAGCAACAACAACCACAGCAGGAGCAACAAGAAGAGCAGTTACAGAAGCAACAGCAACAGCAAAAGTAACAGCAACAACAAAAGCAGCCTGCTCAGTAATAGTAATAAGTTGTTTCTAACAATAGCTTTTTGGTTTGTAGTTGGTTCCACCCTGAAATGTCCAGACAACAGACTGAGGATGCTCTCAGAACAGAGGTAAATAAAAAAATTTAGGAATTTAGAATTTATCAATTTATGACATGATTGTTTTTGTCTTCTGACATGCTTGCTGCTTGGATTAAACTGGTTTGAATRTATTCTTTGTTGTAATCGTGAGAATTTCAGGACTCACTAGGTAGTTTTGTCCCAACAACTTGCCGACAAGGGTTTTTCTGTGCCCAGAATAAAATTTGACATGTCTTAATCAATCAACAGGGTAAAGAGGGCTGCTTCATAGTGCGCAAGTCAAGTAGAGAAGGAATGTATACACTATCTGTTCTGTAAGTACTATTTACAAATACTGATTAGTATTTGTGTGTTTATTTTTGCATCATACAGATTTGCATTTTTACTCATCACTTGTATTTTGGCATGCAAAAAGGCTCAAAAAATACCCCATAACTCATAAAAATACACAGCCGTATCAGGTGCTTAGCTGACTGAGAACCTGTATTTATCACATTGTCAAAGTAGTATTTAATTCCACTCGGCTACATCTCGTGGATCCACTTACTACTTTGACAATGTGATGATGCAATTTATCATCAATAAGAGGACAGACACATAAAAATCTGATGTCAATTTATTAAACTAATTAGCTTAGTGATGACTTGCTAACTGAATAATTGCCTGTGACTGTTGGATGAAAGGACTGATTGGCCAACCGACTGTTTGTCTGACTTGACTACCAGAAGACCAAACATCTGACTGACTGACAGACTTATGGATGGGCAGAAGGACAGACGGACGGACCAACCAATGGGTGGTTTGACTATCGGATTGTCTGACTGTCGGTAGTACTAACTATTGACCAATCAGAACCTACTGACTATCAAAATTTGATTGACTGCTTAACTTCTTAATTTTCTAGTCATGGTGAAAATGTTCGTCACTACCACATCAAGCTAGACGATGAAAAGTTGTACTACATATCAGATAGACACAGATTTGACTCTGTACCAGAACTCATTAATTACCACCAGCACAACAGTGGTGGACTGGTGACTAGATTAAGACAGCCACCTTCGTTTGGTGTCAAACCTTCTACAGCAGGCTTTGGTCATGGTGAGGACAGAACCAAGAAGAATGTATTTATTACGATAAAATTGGTCAATCGAAAAGTTATAAATATAAGACAGTTAACCTTCAACCTCTAGGCTGATGTATGTCAGGGCACCGCTTTGAACTCACAGATCAAACCCTAAAATAACATTTGGGCATGGATAGCTCATAGATTGAACCCTCAAACGACGTCTGGGTTGGTCTATATGTTTCAGGGCA